AAGAGTATGAACTGCTTATACTCGAAGAGTATGAACTGCTTATACTTAAGAGTATGAACTGCTTATACTGAAGAGTATGAACTGCTTATACTTAAGAGTATGAACTGCTTATACTTGAGAGTATGAACTGCTTATACTGAAGAGTATGAACTGCTTATACTTAAGAGTATTAACTGCTTATACTCAAGAGTTCATCCTGTGCCAGCCCATTCTCTCCTAAGAAAGATGCTGCAACACATACTAATGCAGCTTAGCTTGATTGAGCGAGCAAATGCCATGTCAGCCGCACCGATCATTGATTCACTTCGATATTGACTTCCTTATGATTACCTAATCCCTAATTACCTATTACCTATTACCTCGTCATTGAGTTCTCATTCGACAGTGTATCTTCAATTTGAAAAAGGTATTAGCATATATCACTTATAAGCCTGCTATAGTAAATTATTTGGGCCCCTCTTTATTTTTTTTTCTGAAAATATCATTATTTCGAAGGGTGTTACTGGAGTTATACAAGACCCCCTCCATAACGAGAAACTAGAAAGAAAAAAATAAATAGACCGCAACATCGGCTCAGTGACATGGCGCGAGCACGATTTCATGAAATCTCCCAAAGAAATATGACCTCAGAAAGATTCGGCCCATAACCAATGCCAGCCACTTGAATAAAACTAACCAAATGTCATCAGCCCATAGGTTATGTCTTTCTGAGGGCCCGTGGCCATAGCTCATTTGACAAAACGGCAAGACGTACTGTTGTCTTTGCCTCCTGGATGTAAGCAAATACACCCTGCGAACGACTTGAACAAACTAATTAAGGTCTATTAAATCCTCAAAGGAAGTATTCAAAGGAGCTAGCATCTCCCTTGCGTGCATTAGAGCTTGAAAGCCGATTTTGCCTCCAGAAGTGCGCAATCTTACGCTCATTGTAGAGGTGGGCTGGCTTCTGATCGCAATAGCAGCTTCCCAAACCCAAATTGCATTCCAGTCGTGATTCACGAGCTTCCTTATCATGAAAGGAGACATAGGGGCCCTGATTGAATATATGAAAGACGGTGTGATCCTTTTACCCTGACCGTTTATGTTCGTGTGATTACTCCCAAACTTTTCTCCAGCGTTTCGTCGCCTTCACTTCGGGGAAAATCACAAGGTATGCATGCCATTAATGTTTATTATAGTATTGATAAGTGATGAATGTTATTTCGTTTCTTTTACTTCCTATTTTTTCGACGTTTCCGAACCCTTCTTGAAGGAAAAGCTAGCGGCCAGCAGGTTTCTAAATAAGGCCGGGATGGATGGGCTCGGGGCTCCCGATTGCGGCCAGTGCCGATCTCGGCCCGCACCGCCAGGCCGCATGGCATACAAGAGCAGACTGGGAAGTGGAGGGTCAGGATATGAATATAAGGATGCAGCGACGGGTGGATAAAGAGAAGGTTATGATTGGATGGCGATGGGAGGTGTCGATATAAACCGAGGAGCTGGAGGAAGCTGAAGCGGGGACATGGAGATATAGTTGGAGGAGGACAGAGGAAGGGGCGATATATTGAATGATGAGAATGGGGATATGAGAGTGAGGACAGGGGAAGGTGGCGATGTAGTTGATATGAATGGGGTATAAGAGAATAAGGGTAGAGGAAAGTGACATATAAAACAACGAGGATATATGAAAATGGGAAAAGCAGAAAATCATGCTAAAAAATGATGATTGAAAAAAACAAAAAATCATGATAGAAGAGAATGAGTATAAGAGTGAGAGGATAGAGGAAGATGGCGATGTAATTGAAAATATTGGGGATAAACGAAAATGGAGTATAAGAGAATAAGGACAACCAATGAGAAAATGATGATAGATTTAAAAAAGGAAGAAGATAAAGATCAAGCAAATAAAGATCGAAGACTGGAAGGTGAAGAATAGGGGGATATAAACCAAAGCATCGAATATCATGATGATAGAGTAATATAGGAGAAAGTGTATAACAGAATGATGATCAAACATGACAGAATGATAAAAGAGAATGATGATTGAGTTTAATGGAAGATAGAAGAAAATGAAGATCAAATATTTGCCGATGTAGGGACAGCAGGACAAGTGGGTGGGAGGAGACTGATGTGAGGATATAGTAAAACGGAGATATAATGGATACAATAAATGAGAGTATAGTAGAAATAATGAAATGGAGATATAATGGATATAATAAACAAGAGTTTAATTGTTATAAAATGAGAGTATTATAGTTCTAAAATGAGAGTATGATAGTTAAAAATAAGAGTACAATGGTTAAAATGACAATATAATGGTATTTAAATGGGAGTATAAGGGATATAGTGAATGTGAGTATAATAGATACAAGAAAGGGAGGAAATAATAAAATGAGAATATGATAGAATAAAGATAAAAGAAAAAGACCAGCAGCAGAAGCAGAACTTTCGGCCCGCTAGCGGGCCCAAGTGGCCAGACTCTCGTATTGCCGTTTCACAGCCCCGCCAGCCATTTGGCTCGAATCGAGGAAATGTTCACGGCGTAATTAAAAGTGTAGTTTGGCGGCACTCTCGGAAGCATCAAAAAGCAAGAAGCTTTATGGCCAGCATCACCCATAAACTACTAGCCCTATAAACTTTCGTCTCCACAGCCAATAAGCACATTCCATGGAGCTGCCGATCCCAATTCTCACGAATGCCCAGACCGGCTTGTCTTGGCAAATCTGCGACAAAACCATAGACGCCCATACCTAAAAGAGATACTGCTTGCGGAAACTATAGATCAGAGATGGGGAGCCCAACGACGTGTTGTGCATACCTAACGGTGAGTTGGGGCGAAAAAACTGGAAATGACCAGATTTACAGTGGTGGGCAACGTGACAGAATCAAGAATATCTTAGAAACACAAACAGTCTGGGGCCACTAGCCGACCAGAATTCTTTTGGAATACCTTTTTCCATCATAGCAAAGTCACAACCTTCGAGAGACCTCATTCAATAGCACCTGTGGGTAAACATAAATAATAGCTTTGAATGAAGTAATACCTTTTTACTAAAAAACAGCTTTAATACATTTGGCACAAGTCAAGCCCTTGACAGAAATGACACCCTTGACAGAAAATTTTGCGCTGGGGCGGGGACCAGCCCTTGTACAATCACTCAAATCTTCCATATGCCTTTTATTTTCATCCATTCATATAATACCACTATCAATCTACGTCGCCTGGTTTAAAATACATACATACATATGAATCCCTTGCAAAATAAATGCGGGCGTCGTCTTCAGACCACCCAATACAGGCTTTCTTTTAGCTATTCGGTGCTAAAATGGTCTCGCCCACTAAATATCCAGTTGTAGTCTCAGTCGTGGACAAAGGATTTGTGCTTACAACGTGACATTGCCATTCGAGCTAATGTTCGAGTCCTTTCGAAAAGCATCCAAATTCTGTTTATATGGTTCTTTGAGAACACAAAACGGCACACTTGGAAATATTTAGACACGCCGCAAAAAACTTACATCACCTGTGAAGGCTACTGCGCCAGTATGTTTTGTTGCCCAAATGCACCCCACGAAGTCGCTAGCATATATTTTACGGTTCTTGACATTGCAATCACGCCCCGGGAATACAGTCTCGAACTACAAGAAGCATTTCTGAAGATTTAAATCATAGAGCCTGTATCAGAAAACAACAAGGCGAATTAAGATCATGTAATATAGGTATGGCTCGAGATGTCTTGCCAATAATCCTGGTAATCGCAAAGCTCGTAGCTACAGTACACTTGTTGTGAAGATTGCTCCATGAATTCCATATCTGCTATACTATCGTGATAAGCCTAGCTTCGAAAAACAGCTCAATCAAGTGGATTTAACAACTGCTTTTGATCTCCAGTCTGCTATTCAGCTCGGGCCAGTATTATAAGGGTTTATATGCTTGACGCTGGCGGCGGTTTGGGGGTGGTCGAGGCTACCCGCAAAATTGCAAACATCTCATGAGATTTTACTTGGACACCCAGCCGAAAACAGAGGCTCTGTACGTTTTCAAAATTGGAGATTTCCGAAATACGACTGCAAAATTCTAGTCGCACCCAATAACTCGCGCACTTGGATGGGCCTCAAATGGTAACGATTGTCAAAAACAAATCCAAACAAAAACAAAAAGGCCAAGTCAAAAAAAAGAGCCAGACTCACTCCCAAGTGGTTCTTTCCTATTGCACGGATTATGAGGCCACTATTTCAAGGCCAATTTTTCCACGCATGTGCCCCAACCGCCAAACACCACACCCGTACACCACACATCACCAAGACATCACCAGCCATCACCAAGGGCACATCACTATCACCAGAACAGCTTGTTTCGAATCTGCTCCTTATTTCTCGATGTCCGCCGGTATCCCCGTCCGCCTACTAAATGAAGCACAGGGTCACGTGATCTCGCTTGAGCTCACCACGGGCGACACGTATCGAGGCAAGCTTGTCGAAAACGAAGATAACATGAACCTTTCGTTGACAGACGTCACGAGGACCAAGGGCCTCACGGGTGAAACCTCCTATATGAACCAAGTCTTTGTGCGGGGCTCCATGATCCGTTTTGTGAGCGTGCCAGATATATTGAGAAATGCCCCGATGTTTCTAATGAGCCCCGGAGATAAGCCCCGGCCTCCGGTGAGAGGGCCTCCACCCAAAAGACAAAGATTTTGATTAACTGCAATCGCCCAAACGAAGAAGGGAGGGAGAAGCGAGAAACGGGGCTTCGGGGCCCTGTTGTTTTTGATAGAGTCACGTTGATCGATTCGAGTCTATCAGTGGGAAATACATAGCCAGATATATAGCTAATCCGCAACGAGCACCAATTTGTCCCCTTATCTCATCGTCACAAGCTCCTCAGCAGAGGTTGGGTGGATGGCAACGCAGTTGTCAAAGTCCTTTTTAGTAGCGCCCATCTTCACAGCAACGCCAAATCCTTGCAAGATTTCTGCCGAAGAGTCTCCCACGATGTGCATGCCCACGACCTTCTCCTCTGGCCCTGCGCAAATGACTCTGTAAGCAGTTGGAGCCTTCTCCTCATCCGAGTCCAACATGGCGTAGTACATACCGGTGAACTTGCTGTTGTAAATCTTGATGTTGTCTTCGCCGTACTTCTCGATGGCTTGCTTGCTGGTAATACCGATCGAGCCAGCCTCTGGGTGCGAAAACACAACCGATGGGATGTTGGTGTAGTCCAAGTGGTCCTTGGCGAAAATCTCCTGGCCGGAGAACAATCTGTTGGCCAATTTACGTCCAGCGGCAATGGCCACAGGCGTCAATTCATGGTTTCCAACCACATCCCCCAAAGAGTAGACCTTGCTGTTGGCAGTCTGCTGGAACTGATCGGCAACAATGTGGCCTGACTTCTCGTTCGTCTCGACGCCAACCTTTTCCAAGCCAATGTCGAGCAACGCCTTTCTGCCGACAGTCCAAAGCAACTCATCCACCTCCAACACGTCGCCATTGCCCAAGTAAACCTTCTTCTTGTCACCGCTCTTCTCGACCCTGACAACACTTCCGGAGTTTTTGATGATCTTGACACCCAATTTGTTGACGTAGTGGTCGGTGACAGTGGTCTGAATGATGTCATCAAACGCTCTCAAAACAGTGTCACCACGGGCAACCAAACTGACGTCGGTTCCAAGACTTTGGAACACTCCAGCAAGCTCAACGCCAATGTAACCAACACCAACAATGGCCACAGACTTAGGCTGTTCCTTCAACGCAAAAAATCCGTCGGAGGTGATACCCAACTCGGCGCCCTCGATAGATGGGGGAACAACAGCGTATCCACCGGTCGCAATGAGAACCTTGTCTGCAGAGAAAATGAGCTTGTCGTTCTTTTGGAAAGATTTTGACAAGAAAGGTACTTCTTGGTCCGCACTGAGAGTGACCTCCACGTCTCCATTTTCGTTGGCGAACGCTCCACGTCCGAAGATGTACTCGACACCCTCTTTTTTCAAGTTCCTCTCGTAGATGCCGTTCAATCTGCTGACGTACGCATCTCTCTTCTCCTTCAACAGTCCCCACTTGAAGTCACCATGCTTGATATGGTGTCCGTCATCGGAGAGTCCGTACGCTTTCAAGTGCTCTTTTTTGTGAGCAAGGTCTGCAGCATACCACATGACTTTCTTTGGAACACATCCGACATTGACACACGTGCCTCCAAGCTTGTTGAATTTGCTCTCCACAAGAAGAACCTTGGCACCATACAGCGCAGCACGACGGGCGGAGGCGACTCCTCCGGAGCCTCCGCCAATCACGAGGTAGTCGTAGTGTTTTGCAATTTGCTCTTGAACTGGGGCCATTGTTAAATGTCTGATGATGGATTTGAGTCGGATTATCGGCTCTTTAAGTAATTGCTTGGAAGGCGCAAACATTGGTGGGGTATCTTTGCCCCCCGTTGGGCAAGGCAATATCGCACAATATAGATACTGCACACAGTGTAGAGCTCTAGTGCTTATTATTCGCGCTGCTGACTTATTATAGGGTTTGTGCCTGCAGGTGACCAAAGCTCTTTGAAGGACCACTATACGTGGCTGAGTTTTGAGTCCGTTCTGCTTGATTCCATCTGACTGATCATTAAGTCCACTTTTCATTGAAAAAAGCCTTATTATTTGTTCCACGTCCTTCTCAAACACATCACTTCTATTTTTCAGAGATATGGGTCTTTGTTATTTCAACGATAATAGACAATGCTCGAATGTGGCAGGATAATGTCCCTAGGATCTCCCAAAGCCTGCACGTACTCGCCAGGCGCAGCTTGGATTTATAGTACCTTATCGTCATTCGATGCAGACAAATTGACTAGATTGGGGCACATGCAGTAATGTGATGGGCTTTGGTCTTTCCATGATACGGGCTTCAAATGGGGATCGCGGGACGTCAAGTTGACTAAATCGAGCGGCAAAAACATGTCCATTCTAGAAGTCTCGTACCGTTCAGCTTTCACTAGTTGTGGACTTTCGATCAACATCACAGGAGCCTATCTGCCCCAAAATTTTGTGAGCGCTTCCATCAGTAGACAGGCATGCCAACTTTGGTTTTCTATAACGGACGCTTCTATCAATCCATATCTTAGTAAGCAGGCATGTCAACATGATCATCGAAAGCGTCTCTCACCCGCCGCTTCAAGAGGCCCATGGTGTACGCAATCACCTCCGGATGCTGGTCAGGCTCGCATTCAGACGCTTCTTCACTGTCACAATGACCAGATTGTTTCTCGTAAGAAGATGTTAGCCAAGAATTTGTCAAGTCGAGTAAGTCCAGAGTGTCCATGGGCTGATCAAAGACTTTGTTCTGAGCGTCCGGCCCGTTGCCCGGCTTCGAAACCAAGGCCAGCAAATGCTCCTTCGCCGTTTTCAATTCCTCTTCAAAAGCCTTGTCCTCAGCCAAAAGCCCCAATATCTCCTCTTTGTCCTCGTGAAACGCCTTTTGGGCATTGAATGCATTGTCAGATGCGGAATACGACGTATTATTAGTAGTGCATTCTTGATTGATGTTGTTGGAGTATCCGAAGAGCTTGTGAAGAAATTCTTTTTTGTGGAAGACCTGAACTTTGCGCTTACCTAGCAAAGTATGGTTTGCAGTGAAGGCCCGCTCCTGCGTAACACTTTGATGCTGGCGGTATAGCCACAATTCTTTTTTCTCCGTATCTTCCAATTCGTAGTAGCTTGGCGGCGACGCACAGTTCTGGAGCTTGCGGTAGTTCTTAAGTATGACTTTGAGCTCGCCTTTGGTGTATTGGGGGATAGATTCCAAGAGGACCGACGCGCTTGGCGCCTCATCCGTGTCACAGCCTTCCACGCTGGCACGGGCGTCCTCATTCAAGCTGTTTCCGTCACCCTCGTCGAGAACATCTGTTGTGTCGTTTGGCGACGAGGAGGATGAGCCGTTTTCGAAAATGATCTCCGCACTGATCTTCTCGGCAGATTTCCATGCGCGCACCTGTGAGTCCTTCACTAGAGGAGGGATGTTGACGTCGCCAGTCTCGGAGTTGGTGTGGCAGTCGACAAACGCAGAGTAGTCGTATTTCGCCATCGTGGCAGGCTTGCGTAACACAAACGGGCGCGGGTTGGTCTGGGCTCTCCGCAGTTGCTGTAGGTTCAAGAGCTTTTTGGAAGCCGTGGCCGTGGACGACACGCCCGCGAAACACACGTCGGGTGCCTTGGCACGCGAAAGCCTAGCCATCGACGGCCTGGCCTGGGCGTTCATCTGCTGCTGCACCCTGCGAATGTTGTTGCTGGGCGTGCTCAATAGCGATGTCGATGACGACACGGTTCTCTGGCTGACATTGGGCATGCTGTTATAAGACGCTTCATTGAGCGTATGCGATGGGACGCGGAGCCGCGGGATGTGGAGCTTTACGATGTTTTTCTCGTCGGCCATGTGTAGCAAGATCCCACCAAATCGAGTGCTTGATAACTGGGGTTGATTTGGAGAAGCCGCGCAAAACAGAGACGGCCATCACGGCCGGGGCTGATTGCGATAGGGCGCGGTATGGGGGAGGGCACACTGTGCAGGATGGAACCAGGTCTTCTTTTGCAACCACAGCGGACATCCCCCAAGGGCGCTTTGAGAAGCACTGGGGAACGTGTCGTGAAACCACACGGATACCTCTTTTTTTGTGAGCAGTAAACGCAAAAATGCAGCCGTTTTCGGGGAGCTTCTTCCTTTTTTCTTTTTTTTGCTGTTGAAAGGAGTCATTATGTAACTGAGCCCATGGAACCAGCCAGCCGCTGTCCTAACGTGCTAGCAAACTCCGTGTTCGATGTGTCCGATTGACTTTTTTTGTATATGCCCGGGAAACTTGCAACATATCCAGAGAGTAGAACAGAACAAGACATGGCCAAAAGCTCCAAAACAAGGACAAAAATCGTACCGAAGCGAAGCCAAAACATACCAAAACCAAGCCGAAAAAACCAAAACCAAGCTAAGACATATCACAACCAAGTCAAAACACACACCAAAACAAAAGCAAAAACACACCAAAACAAAAGCAAAACACACCAAAACAAAAGCAAAAACACACTAAAACGAAACAAAAAACACCAAAAACCGCTTATGGCTTTGTTCTGACGACGGCGGCTATCTCACGGGTGTGGTGCTGCAAAAACAGATAGAGGTGTCCAGCCACGGGACCACTAGGGGGCGCTGCGGATCACGTGACCCTGACATCCAGCCACGGCTCGCAGACCACTGCATGTGAAAGTGGGCGAGGCGCCTGTGCCATTCTGCCTGCTTATTCGGTACTTAGCAGCCCTCAAATTCCCGCTCATTATATGCCACGCGCGGCGCGGGCTGGCCTGAGTTGGGCGTGGGTGGGGCGCGCGGTGCTCGGAACAGGCACAGAGGGCTCGAGCCCTAGATGCCTGCACACAACCGGCGAGCTGTCTGTGCATCGCACGCTTGAAAATTTCTCCCGCGAGGTACTCACTATCAGAGAAAAAATCTTACATTCTCACAAGTTAGGTACTAGACGCAACACTCGACAAGATGGCTACTGAATTGACCGTTCAATCTGAGAGAGCTTTCCAAAAGGTATGTTCGCTCCCGTCCACACAAACCTAGTTGCACACCATGCCATATCCACGCTACCGCCTCTTCTCTGTTGTCAGGGGTGTTATGTGACACCCGAAACCCGAGATTCGAGATGTCATAATACCTGCCGGGTTTCGGAAGAAATCTCTGCAGTAGCACACAGACATGTACCATAAAGCCTAGAGATATGACGGATCAACACATCTAACAGGTGCCGTTAAGCATGGGCACTTGCAACCACGTCACGCATCGGCAGACAGTAGATACTAACTAACACAGCAACCACACATCTTCACCAACCCTAAGACCAAGGCCAACAAGAAGGCCAAGAGATGGGTGAAGGACATTGGTTTGGGCTTCAAGACCCCAAAGGAGGCTATTGAGGGCTCTTACATTGACAAGAAGTGCCCATGGGTCGGTGACATCTCCATCAGAGGTAAGATCATGACCGGTACTGTTGTTTCCACCAAAATGCACAGAACTATCATCATCAGAAGAGACTACCTCCACTTTGTCCCTAAATACAACAGATACGAGAAGAGACACAAGAACGTTGCCGCTCACGTCTCCCCAGCCTTCCGTATCCAAGAGGGTGATGTTGTCGTTGTTGGTCAATGTAGACCTTTGTCCAAGACCGTTAGATTCAACGTGTTGAAGGTCTCCGTCTCTGCTGCCAAGTCCAAGCAATTCACCAAGTTCTAAAGTACATAATTTTGATTGAAAGACTACATTTGTGTATTTAATGTTACAATAGCAAAGTACTTGTTTGGGAATGTAGGATCCGTTGACCGGATGCCGGAAAGCTGAAACCCAGCGCAGCGTAGTTTTCGACCTGGAGCGTTTGAGGGTTCCGTCCTGCCTCACAAGACTGGCTAGCCTAGGGAGCTCGGCAGAATGGCAAACCACATCGCAAGCTTGTTGCAGCCAGCGTTCTAGCTTCTTGCTACAAGATTGTTCATAGTATATTCGAACACCTTGTTCGTTCATTTTCAGATATCATACAAAAGCAAAGGGAGGGCGGAGAGTTCCCGCGTGTAGTTTTTCCTACGAGTTCGACGGCACCTCGAGGCGCAGCACGGAGATGGCCTTGCCGCCCCACAATTTCAACATCTCGACCAACTTACCCTCCTTGTGGAGCTTGGTGAACTCGGACGCACCGCCCTTGCTGAGCGTCAGCTCTGTGCCGATGATCACGTTGGGCACGGTGTTGCGTTCCGAGACATGCCCCACATACTCCTGGAGCTCGCGGCCGTGTTTGTGTTTATCCAACTCGACGATCTGGGGCGCCGGTGTGATGCTGTAGTTCTCCAGAAGAAGCTTCTTGAGCTGCTTCAGATACGGGCAGTAGGTTTTAGAGAAGATCGTCATCGGCGCCAACGCGCGGATCTGCAAGAATTCCTTGGAGGGGTCATAGTCCAAGGGCTCCACGTCCCCAGAGTCGGTGTTTTCGCCTGCTCCTCCACCGGTCTCCTCCTTGATTTTCTCCCGTGAGATCTCCTGGTTGATGGCGTTGTCCACCACCTCGTTGTTTTGCGAGTCGAGCAAGCTCTTGGCTGCCGGCACCGTGCCCGCAGGCGCGGAAGCCCAGTCGTACGCGCCTCGCCCACGAATGAGGATCACAAACACCAAGAGGAGCGCCAACGCCAGCGCCAACACTTTAGATTTCTTGCCGTTGGCCATTATTATATGCTTTTTTCACGAAGGTCCAAACTTTTCTTGTTGGGAGGTGTCTTGGTTTTGTTGTTTTTCGTTTTGGCCAAAATAAATGCCAGAAACAGGAGAACGGAAAAGACCAGGGGGCCTGGGTCAGGGCCCGTCTTCCAGAATCGCACTGAACAGCGCGTAAAGAACGGGCGGCGAAAACTCGCATCTTTTGGTCCACGCCTGCATATTAACAACGGCGGCAAACTAAGGGAGGATACACACGGCGGAAGTCACGTGGACTGCCCGCCGCCTGAGAGACATGCGGCTAGACTTTCAATCGTTCTGTCTGCAGGAAACACCTGACGTTATAAAAAATTACCTCCTCCAGAAACGGGTCCTGGCTTGCGACCTACTGAAGGGTAGAGTAGGGGAGTAGTTTGTGGTACAAGACGCGCGCTGGAGGCCAAAGCTTATATCGACGCGCGGACCCGTATCACGTGACCAGATCCTTTCCTACTATGTGCAGTGCCACTTTACAAGATTCTATTACCGGGTTGGAGCCAAAAGCATGAATGACAGATATCTTCGGGATTTGTTTAGCATTTTTTACAAATCAACAGTGCTGCAGATATCATAATACATCGCAGGGTTTGGTGCAAAAAGAATAAACAGTTTGGCTTTCTGTGCACTCTGTGAGAGCAAACCTAGGGAACGTGGCAATTTAGTTTTCATACTCTTTTCGTAGACATGATTTCACAGCATTTTAGTCAATATATTTGCCTGAACATCTAATGGTTTGTGTAAGAATGATAAAATCAAGGTAACGGCTCGAAAGTTCTGGGTGCACTTGATTATAGGGCATCTAGTGTTCAGAATACAGAAGTAATAGACACGACATCGATTGACAATATATCCCAAACGATGATCCCTCCCCTCAAAAATAGATAGCAACTTATTGTCTATCTAGTGAGTTCATGTTTTAGGAGTTATAAGTATATACTGTCGCTGTTCCTATTCGAATGCAGGCTTCAGCCTCCTGCGCAGCTTTCACATTTTTGCACCCCACTATTTTCTTATATCTATCATGATTGCCGCCTAAGGTAACCGTCACTGTTTTTGTCTAGCTAGTGGATGATTGTGCTTCTTGTCTTACTATTGGTATCTATTAAGCTAAACTACCAAACAACTCTAGTATTTTACTACGCCTCTGTCTTCATAGAATATACTACCTAAGTAAATATTCAGATGGCCTTTTTAAATCAAAACATCCGAAGCCTGTGATTCATGCTCACCGCAGGGCTTTTACAAAAGGCTAGTTAGAAGCCCAGAAAAGTGTGGAGTCTTTACTCGCTTTGAAAGAGATACACCTTTCATTCTCAGCTCCATCAGAATTCAGAGAGTAACTTGAAAATCGGGAGCTAATTGCTTGATGCCACATTTCCGAATATTTAAGTGACTACGAATGTTGAAATTGTGCTTAGTACCGCGTGTTTCGATAAGATCAGGCTTCACTTCACACACGGAAACTGACCCTCTGTGAGACACAGAGAGAAATTATATGTGCTAAAGAAGTAAAACTCCAAACTCCGAGTAGTTTGAAAATGTTGGTTTAGAGTCACAGTATTTCCTACAAAAATCAATGAACTTGGATGTATTGGAAAACAAAGATTGTTTAACTTCAGGCCTTCGTGCTATCCCACTGTTCTTATTGATCTCCTTCTCAAAAGGATGGTTTTCATTTATCTAAGCAGTCGAAATTAAGTCTGCTGCCATCATGCTTAATGTGAGCTTGATTCGCTCAACCATTACATATCAACTCAAAAAAAGGGAAACAGGCGGAAAATCTTCCAATGTTAGGAATTTATCTAAAATTTGCTACTGATAAAACGTTAGTTCAATTTACCGGCTAGTGTGCATAGGTTTGCATGATCTATTTAAAATGTCTCTACCGAGTGGCTAGCTTAGAAAATGGCAATTGGCCAGGGCCCGCCAGTTACTAAACTTCAGAGTATACGACTTTTGGAAATCGGTGGTTAAACTGCTACTGTGCTGAAGATTTACAGGATTATCTTTCGACGAACATCTATTTGTCGGGTTTTTCATGCGTTTCGCTTCATGCGGGGACCAACGTACATAATAGGTTTTTATGAAAGCTATTCTAGTACACAGAGAGCCCAAATCTCAGAAATTCGTATTGTAAGCCGGAAGAGCTCTGGTCAAAGAGCCGAGAAGCCTTTTTTTTTAAATTTAAAGGGGCATTGTTCTATACCACAACCACTAATATCACCAGCATAAAGTGCCACAGCTAATATTTCTACTGTCAATACCTAAAGACTAGTGTTGCATCAAGAAGATTTTTCAGCTAAAAGAGAATCTGCTTTCATGTCGGTACATAACCCATAAATCCGCTTCTTTAGAAAGAAGACGAACATTGTTTCTGCATAGCGGTCTCATTTTACTTGTGGAAATGAGGTAGTAATTACCAAGACACGATTTGAAGGTGTGTTGACCAGCTGAGCTCGATCAAAATTATTGTCAACTAAGGCCTGATACCTTCCAGAGAGTCTCGCATTCATTGCAGATTTCCACTTCTGGTCTGAATCTCTGTGAAGGAGTCTAGCCCTAGAAACCGCTCCTTCAGATCGTCTCTCATGTTCATGTCATTGACATTGATACGTTTTCTTTTGGGAAAAGTGGCCGATTATACTTGCTGAGATTTTCCATTTGTTTCACAGATCGTGACTTCTTCTTGTCGTGTGGTGTCTGACACTTCATTCTTTTTCCATTATTCGTCAGTCATCGCTCATTTTTACGAGTTCCATTCGCGATTGTCGGCCACATATAATACAGCCCGAGGCTAGAATTTTACAGGATCAATCTTTATGCCTGTCGCTCTAGCGACGTATGATTGAGTTCTGCCCTTCAAGATCTCATATCCCTAGCATTTGGAAATCTGCTATCACAAGATACTTCTATCTCTTCAATAATGCATTTTGCAGGTGTAGAGCTGGCCATGTTGGTATCAAAAAAAGGGTCAGGAGGGACCCGAGTATGAGATCTTTCATCAGTCATTTGTGGCGGTGTAGTCGATCCTGGATCACTGGAAGCTCTCATCATTCTTCTTCTTTGCGTGTGTTTTTGCCGTTCTGTGATGTAGTCATAGCAGCTCCACATTTAAATTGGCCATGACGACTATCAATGGCGTGACAGAAAATACATACCATGAGGCTTCTAATCATAGAGACCAGTCTTCGCCTCATTTTTATTCTGAAGTATAGGTGAGCACACAACTTTTTGTTTCCGAAATAGACAGGGTACTTCTAAGAAAAGCCATAACTCACTCCCCTTCTTAAAAATCTAACCCATGTACTATAAATATGCCCTGACTATGTCATCACGCCTGCTTCGTATTGGCGATCTGCGTGCGCAATAACACACCTTAATTTACACTCTTTTAGGTCTTTCGAGAAAGTCAAGGGGAAAGCGAAAAATAATTTATTTCCCCAAGATAATCTCATAGATTAGACACAAATATGGAACCAATGGCAAATGGCGCCTGGCCTTCAACCAGTCCTCGCTTGGATTTCTCACTCGCACCGGCATTCTACATCCCAAACAGAAATTCTTTGCCCCGTACTTTCTTTGTCCCATACCCTAGATTTCCTCAAAAAACAGCCCTGTGGTATTGCCCCAGCTACTATCTTGCTTGATTCCACCACATCTTCTTGTGAAGTCGTGTCTTCGTTGTGTGTTCTCTGCCCCATACATATTTCTACTTGTCCCAATCTGAATCCACAAGGCCCAAACACAGCTTCTGAGGTCATCACAGTTCTAATCCTATATTTCGTTTATCTTTCAATACTATTGGAGATCTCCGACCACGTGTTCAGTCAAGATCAGCTCCAGGACTCATCTGGTCAATCGGGTGCTTGAATCCCAACTGTCCATATACTTAATAGACCACCCATCAGATATCCAAAATGGCACGCAAATCGTTCGGCGCCTCGTGTGAGCGCTTTATTGCCGAGCTCCCAGATTGGGGCACACCCAATGCGCTCAACCCGGCATTCATGCTATATGCCCTTGCCAGCTATTTAATAGGCACCTTCATTTTTGTGGTGTTGTACTATGCCATGTACTGGATGTTGGTGGCGCTTGAAGGGATCCGCCCAGTTTGAGCACTATTCCATGGCTATAAAGGGCTGGGCTGGATGATTGACGGGCTCACGTGATTTGTGGGCAGGTTCCAGATCATGGGCTTTGGCGGGTCCTATCTGAATTCGGTACCGTGAGGCGCACATGTAGGTCAGGTATTTTGCACCCAAGAATCTGAAAGATGAGGCCAGTAGACCCGAGTGGATTCAGGTTTATGTGAAGAGACGAGAAAGAAAACAAAAAAAGAAAACAAAAAACAAACGGCCTTTGGAAATCACAATGCTGTCTGGATCTCTTTTGCGCTATCAAACGACTCCCAAGCTGAGGCGACAAAATTAGACTGGGCGCTCAGTTTGAGACCGCATACCCCAGAGTCCAGCTCACCTTTTGCCTGACCGGCGAAAACCAAGAAAATGTCGCTAGTATGTACTTGCAATCAAGTCCAGGGGACTGACACAGGGCACTATGAAATGAGTCGTGCTTGGATGATATATTTTTCTATGGTGATTCTATTCTCTTACAACTTCTCTGCGCCCACTGGTCTGCCGATGGTGACGATCTCATCGTAGATCAAAGTAGTGACAAAGTCAGAGTATTTCTCGCCCAAGGCTTCGGGCTTAAAGTACTCCAAAGCTGGCTTGAACTTGTTTCCTGGGCTACCTGCCTTGACCAATTTCTCGTATTCCTCTTGCAAAAGTCTAGCCACGTAAGCCTTATCAATGAGCTTGCCCTCGTCAGTCTTGGCACCGTGAGTGACCCACTGCCAGAGCTGAGTTCTAGAGACTTCGGCGGTGGCCGCGTCCTCCATCAAGTAGTTGATAGGCACACATCCAATGTTTCTCAACCAAGCCTCGATGTACGACAAGCCGATAATACAGTTGGCTCTGATTCCTTGCTCGGTGATCTTGGCACCTGGAACATATGGGCTCAACAAGTCTCTAGCAGTGATTGGCTTGTAAGGGACTCTGGGAGGCACGTTGATTTGGTTTGGTCCCTTCATGTGCTTGTTAAAGACTTCCAACACGATTGGCACCAACGCAGGATGGGCGACCCAGCACGAGTCGCAACCTGCGAGCACCTCTCTCAACTTGTCCTTGGCCACGTTTTCCATGGCGGCCTTGTTTCTGGCGTCATCGTTCTTGATAGGAATCTGAGCAGCCATTCCACCCAAAGCGTGAACCTGTCTCTTGTGGCACGTGTGCACCAAAAGTTTGACGTACGAGGCCATGAAAGGGGCAGTCATGGTCACCTGGGATCTGTCAGGCAAGATGAACTCTTTGGAGTTTCTCAAAGACTTAATGTAGGAGAAGATGTAGTCCCATCTGCCGCAGTTCAAGCCACCAATGTGCTGTCTCAATTGATAGATGATCTCGTCCATCTGGAATGCAGCAGGCAAGGTCTCAATCAAAACAGAGCCTCTGATGGTACCTCTGGGGATCCCGGTGTAGTCCTGCGCATGGCAGAACACGTCGTTCCACAACTTGGCCTCCAAGTGGTGCTCCATCTTGGGCAAGTAGAAGTATGGTCCGAAGCCCTGGGCCAAGGTCTCCTTGGCGTTGTTGAAGAAGTAGATGGCAAAGTCGAAGATTCCACCGGAGACAGGCTCGCCATCAACCAAGACGTGCTTCTCGTCCAAGTGCCAGCCTCTGGGTCTGACAATCAATGTAGGGATGTGTCTGCCTGGGTCCAAGTTCAATTTGTACTCCTTGCCGCCGGTGGAGTACGTCAAGTTTCTGCGCACTCCGTCGTACAAGTTGACCTGGCCATCAACCAAGTTGTTCCATGCGGGAGTCAACGAGTCCTCGAAGTCCGCCATGTAAGTGGCAACCCCGGAGTTCAACGCGTTGATCACCATTTTCCTGTCAGTGGGGCCTGTGATCTCGACTCTTCTGTCTTGCAAGCCCCGAGCCAAAGGAGGCCCGGTCCAAGTGGGGTCCTCTCTGATGTGCTTGGTTTCAGGCAAGAAGTCGGGCAACACACCGGCGTCACGCAATTTCTGCTGCTCTTTTCTGTTCTCGAGCAATTGCAATCTGCGGGCCTGGAAGTTTCTGTGCAAAGTGGCAACCAAGGCAAGCGCTTCAGCAGTGAAAATATGCTTGGCGTTTTCTGGGATGGGGCCCAAGATTTGGACGCCCTTAGTCTTCAGAGCAGTGGTTGGGAAAGGGGAAGACATTTTGGATTCGTGGGGAAGAATAAATCTGTTTAATAAATAGCGGCAGAAGAATGTCTCTGAGTGCGTGTCAGATCTGTTTTCTGGTTTGATTTGTCTTTTTTTCTGGCGACTTGAGTTATATTCGGATGAGCGGAACTAAGGGGCAAGAAAAGTATGGTTTTTCTGGAATTTCAAGGGGGGGACCCGGGGCTTTTATATGTGTGGGGCAGATGCAGCGGCCTTACCCCAGATTTGCATCCAGCGGAAGTATGCTCCGGTCCGAGTCAGGATACCAGGGTCGTGCGCAGGACAATGTGCTGCGGGTGTCCGGGGATTAGGATTTAAGTATGAGGATGTACGGGTGTGATGGTACTATTCCCGAGGGCCTCCGCGCGTTATCAGGCGTGAGGAGGCGCCGGCAGCCGGCGCCGATTTCTCGGCCCACCGGAGTACTGCCTATTGCGGGCGTGCGGGCTGGCGGCGTTTTCCGAAACGCGCGAGATAAGCACGGCCAGGCGACCATGCATGAACACTCGAATGATTCGGTCTGTTTGTGTCTTTCTTTTCATGTTCTTTTATTTTATAAGTAATTGAGAAGAGTTGAGAAAAAGCTAGGGATAGATATTCGGTGCCGATGGACTGACACATTTTCGACGGTTGTGAATTGATCATGTGATGGATTCTATCCATAATGTGGGGAAGTCCGCTCTGCAGATATGTAAGCCGGAGCAATGTCCGAGATCCGATCTTTTTGGCCTGCGAAAAGTGGGATACTAAGGCGAGTAACATTTGACCATCAAGTTGAAAAGCTCTGGGGGCTATGTGTATTCTAGAATGGGCCTCCGAATTAGTCAGACTAGAGCTTTCTACAACAAAACCTTAATTGCCGAGCTCATGAGGGCTTGGGGGTATATTCTGTGGGGGATCCCGGGAGTGCATATAACGGTTAATCGGATCAGGCTCAAGAAGTGCCCCCACTACGGGAGCCGGCCGGCGACACGAATGGCCTTTGTTCACCTTTGCAAGAGGAATGTGATGTTGTGCCGGCGCGAACGCCAAACACACCTCATTTCTTGTTCTATATGGTTTTGCATGCAGCATGTTTTGAGAGTGGTGAGCTCAAACTAGAAGCGGTGCTATATAGTGTCCGATTGCCCAGCTTACTCCTTGGCCCACTTGATGCCGTCCTTGGAGGGCGTGGTGATGCCAGCCATGGTGGGCACGTAGTTGATTCTCTGGTACGAGTTGATGTTCTTTCTCAAGACAAATTGGTAGCACGTGGCGCCCGACTGTCTGGAGGTGATTGTGGAGGAGGCCAAGAAGTACTCCCAGATTCTGAACCACTTGACGCCGTACTTGTTGATGGCCTTGTCCTTGTTGCCCATCCAGTTTCTGTACCATCTCCACAAGGTGGCGGAGTAGGAGACGCCGATGTTGTCGATGGTGACGATCTCGAAGCCCGCGCTCTCCAACGCAGAAATGACAAACGCCAATGGCGTGGAGGCGTCCGCACCGGGGAAGATGTACTTGTTCATGAACAAGCCCCAGATCAAGTCCTCGTACTGCCACGACTTCCTCAAGCCGGCGTACTGCAAGAAGAACACGCCGTCGTCCTCCAAGGCCTCGTAGACCTGCTCCAAGAACGCGCCGAATCTGCGGATGCCCACGTGCTCGGCCATCTCGAGACAGGTGATCTTGTCGTACTTGCCCGAGGGCTTCTCGGACCGGGGCGTGTCTCTGTAGTCGCAGCAGACGATTCTGGACTGGCCGTCCTCGACGCCGTACTTCTTCATGAGCTCGGTGCCCCACTTGGTCTGGTTCCGGCCCAAGGTGACACCGGTGACCTTGGCGCCAAACTGCGAGGAGGAAAAGGTGGCCCAGGTGCCCCAGCCGCAGCCCAAGTCCAAGACGTGGTCGCCCTTGGCCAACTGGATCTTCAGCGCCACGACGTTCAACTTGTTGTCCTGCAACTGCTCCAAGGACTCCTCCTTGGAGATGTCGCTGATGCAGCCGGACGTGTAGATCATGCGGGGGCCCAAGAACCACGTGTAAAAGTCGTCTCCGCGGTCGTAGTGGTCGCGCACCTGCTCCTCGTCCTGCGACTTGGAGTGCATGATGACCTCGGGGATCATGCCGAACAAGAAGAAGCGGAAGAGCGACAACGTGAAGCGGAACGTGGCCCAGTCGTGTCTGTACTCCAACACGTCCAAGCAGTCGCCGCGGAACGACACCTTGTTGTCGAAGTACAACTCGTGGAACGTCTCCATGGGGATCTTGGTGCCCTGGCCGTTGTTGCTGGTCTCGTATTTAGCCTTCAACTCGGGCGTGTGGAACTCCAAGTAGTGCGCCACGGGCTTGCCGGGCAACCGGACCTTCTCGTTGAGCCGTGGCGAGAATGACGACAAGAGTGTCCAGTACGCCATCATGATGGGCAACGCCAACACCACGGCAAAAAAGAGCCAGGTCTTGAAGCCCAAGCCGAGTTTGCGCGTGACGAAAAGGGGAATCAACACCAAGAATCCCGCCATGGCTGCATTCAGGAAATGCTTGCTGCCGGGGCCGTCGGCGGGTAATGGCGCGTTGGCAATTGTGGGCGAGTCCGTGGTCAAAATGCCGCATTCGGCCGACGCCTTGGCGGGCGCCGGCGCGGCGGGTGTTTTGATGAACTCTACGTTGTCCAACATTTTGTGGCGATTTTCTTGGGGGAGAAAGTCGAAAAAAATGAGACTCGTGAGGCGGTTAAAAGAAGAGTGGTTGGAAGGAATTCGCGGTGCGTTGTCGAAAAAGCGACGCGGCGGGCGGGCGCGGGCCTATGTGCAGGACACAAACATATACGTGGTCCATGCGCCCTTGGGAGCATGTGGAATGTTGCATCACTTGGTGGAAGAGTTGGGACATTGTGGAGTGGCATGTCGCGAGAGATGGTGATTTATTCTTCTGGGCTCGGGGCGGGAAAACGAGACGGGATGCATATGATCCAAGTTATTGATTTCGATAGTTGTATTGAAATATTATGTTGTATTGGATTATTATGTTGTATTGGATTATTATATTGTATTGAATTGGTATGTTGTAGTATGGTGATACCCCGAGCGTTTGGATATTGGCCCTGAAAAGTTGAGTTTTATCACTTGTGAAGATTTGAGGATTTGAAGATTTGAAGATTTGAAGATTTGAAGATTTTGATTTGATGACTTGATGATTTTTTACAACCTATTCAATTGTGTGATTGTGTGATTTTTGATGTTTTGATGTTTGATCATCTGGTTATTCTGTGATTTGTTACTTGATTGTATGATTGTGTGACCATTTGATGTTCTGATATTTGATTAATGGATCATTCATTATTTGATCACTTGATTGTGTGATCATTTGATTATTCGTCATTTGATTATTTGTTATTTGATTACATGTTATTTAATTACCTGATTGTCCAATTATTATATTGCCTGATTACTTGATGATTTGATGGAATTATTATCTGCTTCTACTCTTTGATGGTGTGATTTGATTTCCTGCTTGCCTGTCTGAAACATTTCATTAACTATTTATCTGCCTCTGGTTTGTTGGGGCGCTTTCGAGGTCTTTCGTTTGTTTTCTTTGTTTTCAAAGGAGCAAATAGGATGGATCGCCTGCAGCGACCAACTACGCAAGGCTCATGAAAACGCGCACGCACTTTCTAATAATAATGATAATAATAATAATAATAATAATAATAGAGTAGCCCTTTTTTCACTCGAAAAGCCTGAGTGATTTTGAGCTTTGCATGATCATTCTTGAATACCAAGTGCATTCCTGCGAGCGTCAGCCCCTAAGCCATCTCTTTTGTGTGTTTGGTACTCGACGATTCAGGGTTTTAGTGGATACATATTTTGTGCACCGCCATCTGAACTTCATGTGAGACAAGATGTTTGACGGATTGAATTTCAATTGAAGATCTGCTGTCCTTCAGGAACATTTTACCGCAGTTTAGATAGGTCATAGACACAGTAAGTTGACCATGATTTCTTCTCTTCATAAAGAGTAGGGATATGTTGATCTAGTCTTACGCGACTCTGCAATAGCCTCTGAAACTTACTTCATGATATTTTACAAAACAAAGGGGCTTAAGAACACAAAAAAGATTGCAGCACCACAATTTCGCATATGGTCTCCCACTACACTACTCAGTGTGGCCCTATGCAGCTTAACTAACGTTGATCGGACGGGAAACAGTGCTTCCTGCATGGTATGGCCGCAACCGACATTTCGAATTGAGGGAAAGTGAATAATTGTTAATCTGAAACTATTGTGGTTTTGTCAGATGCTAAATACAGAAAGTTGCATCACCTTTTATTGTGCAATATTTGTTGACCTCAATTCTAGCACCTTGTAAAGGGGGGGAGATGCTATCTGCTTTACGTGCCATGAGGACTGTCCAGGCCGTGACTAACGGAAGGGGACGGGCCGAGCTAAGACACTTGGTACGTAGCTGGGAGCTGTTTAAAGTTTTTTATATATATTCGTTATATAGTTTTGCCCCTTTAAGCAGATGAATCTACCAAAAAAAAAAAATGCTTTATACTTGGAGAAGGTACGTAGCCGTGAGCTGTTCAGAGGTCTTTATATATATTATTTATATAGTTTTGCCCCTTTAATCAGATAAATCTACCAAAAAAATATCTTTTGACAATCTCAAAAACCTTAATTGGTGTGTTAAAGTCTTTCGCAGGGTTTTTTTTGCTTAGGGACCTTTGAAAATTTGAGAAACCTTGATTGGATTTTTAAGGTCTTTCACAGGGTTTATTTGCTAAGGAAGCAGGAGGCAAAGACAAATGTACATCTTGCGGGTCACGAGCCCTCGGGAAAAAATATTATATGGGATCATGACATTTAGTTTATTTTTTTTTGAGTGATTGATATTGGTCATGGGCAGAAGACATCCTCTGGGATTTTTCGTGAATTGGTGCTCGCGCCTTTTCACCAGATCCAATTTGCAATCTACTATAGGTTTGTTTTATAGTATTCGTTAGTGGAGGAGTCTTTCATCCCTTCAGTGACCCAATTTAGTATGATGTTACTTAAAAAAAAAACAAACAGTCAGCCAACACCAACAAGGTTTCATACAAGACTCGTCAAGATTGTTTTGGCACTTTTGAATTGATGGTTCGAGTAATTTGGCACACTACCGCTCACTCTCTTCGAATGCGTCCGATCAAAGACTGCAACCTCTGCTTTAAAAAAAACCATCCATTCTATAAGTGCCCTTCAATGTGCAAATGCAATCAAAAACCCATTCACCTCGAGGATAAATGTGCCCGCTGGAGAGTTCAAACAAACAACTAAGGTAAATTTGATCTCGGACTTCAATGGACGGTGTCTGCGAGAAAGGTATAATCTTGAGGGAGTCTCAGGAGGGTCGCTATAGCTAGAGTGGGAACGTTTGCTGGGCAGGTATTTGGGGTCATCGAATGCCCTGATAGTATTCTTTGTAGGTTCATGAGGCACTTTGTCTTCTCGAAGATGCGTTTGGCTTGGGTAGCTTTGGAATTGGCATTTGGTCCGCTGTGATGGGCTTTTGTTTAGTAGCAGAGGAAGTTATAGTCTGAGTCATCGGTTGTGTTCGGATTTTTCTGTCTCTGAGGAGGAAATACCCTTATGTCTGATGCGTTTCTGGAAACCTTGCGATATGCGTGGTGTACCTTATGATGTGAATAGATTTGGTACACATAAAGTTAATGAACCGAACGTTTGCAATAATGACGCATGCGATCGCCATGTATACAAAGTTGCTAATCTCATCGAGATGTTTGATGTAATACTCCCCCAAGCTGGTTATTTCCATGGTAAATTTTTCTTCGGTTCTGGAAGTCCCTTGACAGTGGAGATAATTCTCTCCATCTCGTTTATGAATCATCTGTCAATGGAAACTCAGAAACACGCAAAAAACACACAGTAAACCCCACAATAAACTTCTACAAAAAATTCTACAGAAAACATTGAATCAAAAAATACCCAAAAAAAGAATGATGAAAATAAAACCGAAAAAAATCAAAAAAAATAAAACACCGGTGAAAGTGATTAGTATTGATCATTCGAGGATAATTGCTTCACAATCATAGTTGAGTCTGTCCTGGCTGGCCCCTTTGTACGAGGTCCTTTCCAGCTTCTGTGGATTAGTTAAACCCTGTATGGGTTCAGTCGTATAGATCTCGTGTATATTAGCTCAGGTTCTAGTTTGAGAAGGGCCCCGTGTCATTGTGCATCCGTAACTTGCCGTTGCATTTGGGATACGGATATTGCCATTTTCTTGTGGCTGCTTTGGTGATAATAAATTTTATTTAGAAAAGCAGCCTCGTATCAAGAGTCTAACGTCCATGCCATTTTTGGCTGGCTAGTTGGAATGGAAATGAGATATAACTAGCCGTCAGAACAACGAAGAAAGGAAGGATAATGAAATCGGCTGAACTGGGCCACTTGCCTCAAACTTGTGTTCTGGGAAACAACGTACTTTGAAAATAAACCCAAATTCAATGCTCCACAATTTGCATTCTCGGTTCAGTGAACATATCCCAGTGCAAGTCAGGTGGTGAGTCTTGAAGGCTTCTGGATGTTTTGTATGTAGAAGTGACGGTATTTCGGCCACCAAAGTCACCATGGGTTATAGAAGATTTCAAGGGGTTCGACCAAGTAGTCATGTCTATTTATAGGCAACGAACGGGTTGGTGTAAGTGTAAGTGGTGAACTGAATGGAGGAAGTTTCAGGCAACAATCTGAATAGCCAGTACCATCTGCACTATCAATTCAACTGGTGGGACCATGCTGGTTTGAGCGTTCAATTGAGTTTATTTTAATAGCAAGTGCTTTGCAAATTTGGTTGTCTTTCAGAGTCTTGTTATGCCCACGACATTGTTAAATCTTGTAAATCGTGATGGCAGGTAGTTTGAAACTCCTAGTATCCTGTTTCGCATTGTGGCTGCTACCCAATACATTATCTCTATAGCATGGTTATGTTGGGTACTGTTGAAGGGTGTTTCAATATTTCTGGTGCCTTGTAATGTAATGTTGCATGACCTCTGTCATCTCCTCATGTCCAGTGCATTGTTATGTCTAGTGTTTTGTTATGTATAGTGGGCTATCCAATAAACAGCATCTGTATAGGCTCGATATTTCTAGTGTAGGGCTATACAGTGTTTTGATATTTCCGGGGTCTTTTAATGTAATACTATATTATCTCTAGCATCTGTTTTGTTGATATTTTGTGCAACCAGCAGGGAACTCAAAAGCCATACAGACCCTGTATTTGAGTTTTTCGAAGCTTTTTCTGCCTCGAGTTCCAAACAACGCTTCTCAAGAGAAAGTGACTGATATGATAAAACACAGGAACCACAATATACATACTAAAGCACAGACTGCAGCTTGTCAATTTACTCGATCAACTTCCTGCTTGACTTTTGATTTAAGGGCCAGCATCAGCAAAACATATTTAACTGAGGCTTAGACAATGAGATCCCGCCAACCCAATGCATAAAGGGTTAGCCATGTGATACATGGTAGAGCTACTTGGGGGTCCAGTCACAACGCAAAGCTTCAAGGTGGTTTTGACCAACGGGATAAGAGGATGCCGCATGATATATGCTTTGATCTCATGACACGATACATCCATGATAGGCGGTACATGAACGCGACCCACGACATATCCATGGCATCCACGACATATCCATGGCATCCACGACATATCCATGGCATCCACGACATATCCATGACATCCACGACATATCCATGACATCCATGATATATCCTTGACATCCATGATATATTCAGGACATCCATGATTTACACAGAACTTATCCATGACATATCCATCATAAGCCAAACACCCCTGCATACCTCATACTTTGTATAAACAGCCCATACAGCTTGACATCAAATGGACATAAAGCATCCCAGGTTCTTCATCTAATTTGCAGCAATGTACTGAGCTATACTCGGCCGTGCATCGTCATCGCTTACCCCTCTTTCTTCCGCATAAACAGAGGCCAGGTTAATTATTGATGCATCCAGTAGCTCCAAAACTTCCGCAACAATGCAGAACCAGGCATGTTGCACCAGCCCAATATATATGGTGGGCAGCCTGGGAACTGTACACACGCCCCACGAGGCCTATACTCTGGTAAAGTCCGAAATCCCCAACACCAATTATCCAAGCAAGTCCCAGCGTTTTGAAAAAGCAAGAGACCTCAAAACGCGTGGAGTCCCAAAGCGCGTGGGTAGAACTCGTGGAGTATAGAACTTGTGGATTCAACTGCAGAACTCGTGGAATCTCAGAACGCGGGGAAATCCAAAACTCGTGGCATCCAAAACTCGTGGAATCCAAAACTCGTGGAATCCCGAAACTCATGGACTCTCAAAACACGGGGAATTCCAAAACGCACGGAATCCCAAAACTCGTGGAACCTTAAGAGGCACGCAATATCAAAACCCGTGAAATCCCGAAACTCGTGGAGTCCTAAGACACGTGAGATTCAAAACACATGGAGTCTTAAAACTAGTAAAATCCAAACTCTTGGAAACCCAGAAATCGTGGAATACCAGTCATAGAACTCGTGGAGTCCCAAAACGTGAGCAATCCCAAAGCGCATGGAATATTGTAACACGTGAAGTCCCGAAACTCGTGGGATCCCAAAAATCGTGGAATCTGTACACACTTAGAATCTCAAAACTCATGAAGTCCCAAATACGTAGAATCCCAAATAAGTTGAATCTAAATACGTGGAGTCCCAAATACGTGGAATCTGAATACGTGGAGTCCCAAATACGTGGAATCTGAATTACGTGAAATCCAAAATCTGTGGTACCCAAAATACGTGGAATCCAAAATATGTGGTACCCAAAACTCGTGAAAACTATAATACGTCGAGTCCAAAATACGTCGAGTCTCAAATACGTGGTGTCCAAAACTCGTGGATTCCAAAATACGTGGAGTCCCAAATACGCGGAGTCCCAAATACGCGGAGTCCCAAAACGTGGAATCCCAAAACGTGGAATCCAAATACGTGGAATCTAAATACGTGGAGTCCAGAATCCGGGGAATCTAAAACTCGTGGAATCTAATTTCCGTGGAGTCCAAAATACGTGGAGTCCAAAAACGTGGAATCTAAATACGTGGAGTCCAAAATCCCTGGAATCTAAAACTCGTGGAATCTAATTTCCGTGGAGTCCAAAATACGTGGAGTCCCAAAACGTGTAGAATCACAGAACTCGTGGGATCCTAAATGCAAGGAATCCCAAAATACCCACAATTATAACACCCACAATTATAACACCCACAATTATAACACCCACAATCCAAACACCTACAATCCAAACACCTACAATCCAAACACCTACAATCCAAACACCTACAATCCAAACACCTACAATCCAAACACCTACAATCCAAAACCCGCATACCAAAACCCGCATACCAAAACCCACAATCAAAACGCGCATACCAAACTGACAGAATACGCGGATACTGAGGGAACTTCACGGAGTGCATCCATGACGTCACGTGGCGAAACGTCGTCACACCCTCTCACGATGATTTCACCCAAAGCCCGCCGTATCCCCAAGTGCCTGCAATCATCGCTAGCAGCCCCGAGTATTATACATTGAAGCACATTAAGCACACTGAAGACTGAAGCACTGAAGACTGAAGCACTGAAGACTGAAGCACACTGAATAATCTATGCCAACCTTTCAGTATCAGATTTCTCAATTCAAGTATGTACGGTACTTCGGATCCTTAGGATACTACTATTCTCTAAAAACCCTTAAGGAAGAAAGGAAAGGGAAAAAACTTTCCCTGTACGGAAGTTTTTTCCTCTTGCCACGTGAGGGATGCCTACATGGCGGATACCACGTGACACTCCCCGGAATGATGTAATTAGGGGCTTCACTATTCATCATTCGTCTCAGTTGATCTCGCCATGACTTTTTTAGGGCTTGGATATCGCGATCACTCTGATCGCATACCTCTTGTCGAACCCCAAATATGGGTGGTGTCTCCCGAAAGGCACGTACAGTAATGGTTTAGTGAACGTGTCGGCGATGTTATCTTCGGTCCCGACCGTCTTCACTGTGATGTCTCCTTTTTGTACTCTATCTTGGACATGTTTCTCCTTTATGTCCACCGTCTTGCTGTTGCTGGGGTTGCTTCCTGTTCCATTGACGGACAAAACAACGCCCCTGTTGTCTTCGAGTATGGTGGGCACCTCTATTGTATCTAGGCTCAAGTCCTTG